GGTATGAGAGGCCCTGATTGGAGGAAAGGTGATGAAGCCATATGCCGAAGGTGTGAAACGAGGCCGGGCCACCATGGCTCTGGGCCATTAGTGCAGCAGAGCATGCAACGTGGACACACCCTCACATGGGAGCCTTTGTTTTGGCTGCAGGGCCCCGAGGCCGGCGGGAAACCCGCAGTTAATCGAACACTTTGACAGGCGATGTTCTTGGAACACAGAAAGAGAAGGAGATGGAAACTATTTTTATGTTTCGTTCGAGGCCTCTTTGTAGGCAAATGAGATTTGTTTAAGCATACTTTTAATTGTGCTTGAACACTTCTGAACTGGTGTCAGAAATGGATGACCTGGCAAAAACAAAAAAATATTTAAAAAAAAAAAAAAACTCTGATTATGCTGACTGCAATGAAGGTCATTTTGACGCCCACACCTTAAGATGAGTGCAAAGTTATATTTGAAGTAAATCTGTGCTCTGTTGCTTTGGAGGCCCAGTCATGAGATAAGCCTGCTTGACTAGCCTGCTTGCTAAGTGCAGACTGGTGACTCAACCTGTGACTTTAAGCTGAATCGCAAAGGCAGGATTGTCTTGTTTTTGTTGGTGAAAAAGAGCCATCTTCAGGTTCAAATGTGTACTGCAACAGAAGAGCAGACTTATTTATATCGTGAATGGTAAAGACTACAGGCTCTATATTTTCTTTGAAATAATTGCAAACAACTACATATAATATAACAAACATCTGTCTGTTCAAAATCCTGGATGAGGAGAGCTCCGTGGAGGGGGCCTGGGGGTTGCTTTAGGGCTGCAGACTGCAATTCACTATGCCAGCCACATGGAGACGCCATAATGGAGAGTAAAAGTTTGTGTGTGGATAACAAAACTCAAGAACATCGGAACAGTGAAATGCTAAACCATAAAAAAATACCCTTCAGGGAGGGAGACAGAGGCTTTATTGCAGTTGATAAAATTCACCATATATGATGTTTTTTTGTTTGTTTGTCTTAGATGGCTCCCCTCTCAGGGCGCCCTTCCATCCAGGGGTGACGCTCTAACAACTAAACTGGAAAGTTCTGTCTGTTTTCTATTTGTTACTTGCGTATTGAGTCAATGGGGATTCAGCCCCGTTTTAGGTTAAAAAGTCCCTCTAAGTTCTGTGTGAGTGGGTAAATCAAGACTATTTTTAATATTAAAAAGTAGGACCTTTTTCTGATTTCATGTATGAAAAGTGACTAGTATTGATTGGTGAAAGCTACAGAAATGGCTGTATGATAAACAAAAGAAACATAAATAATTTAACCAACATGGTTTAAAATTTTTCTATATTCAGTATTACGATATATCATTTGCACAAACCCGTTTTCATTAGGTGAAAAACTTTTTTACATTAAAAAAAGACACAAAGACCAGCAAGATGTTTATCTTTAATTCATGAGGGTTAATAATAATTAATCAGGAAATAATATAAAAAGGCATTCTAGACATATTTCACAGTTCTCACACCCACACACATTAAAAACCAAATACTTATTTTAAAAAAAAAACAACATTTGTTCCTCAGGGATTGATAAATCATTCATTAGCAATATACAGTACAGATTTCTCAAGAATCCTGCTCCTTTTTTAAAAAAAAATAAAAATAATGCTTAGATCAATCATCAGCAGCTTGAAACTGGAGTTTGGTGTAGCTGCTTTTAGACATGCACATTCAAAGAGAGACAGGGAGAGAGAGAGAGAGAGAGAGAGAAATAAATAAAAACAACACCAGACACCCAGCTTACTGTTAACATCTTATTCATGCACTTACTCAGAGACGAGCGTCTCTGCGTGACTCAAAGTTCACACACATATTGCAGAGAATACATTTAGGTTAGCAAGTTAAGATATTTACTGCATATGAATTATGCAGAGACGTTTTCTTAGAAAAGGGTAATAATCGCATCTACAGTATTGCTTTTAAGCCTAATGAAAAATGCATACGACGCTGAAGAGTGCAAAACAAACATTCCTGTTTCCTGGATGTTTAGCAGGCCGCTCACCACTGGGTGGCAGCACTTCATCTGAGATGCAGAGCAGCTCTCAGGAGAGAGACGCGCAGGGAAAACGCCACATTTAACGCATCAACAACACAGGAGAAGGTCATAGTGTCCACTTAGTCAAGCAGAACTGTGGAAACATTAAAAAGAGTAATGTTTATTATTATTAATTATTATTATTATTTATTAAGTTTATCTAGTCTGCTGTGACATTTTGAGTCTATATTCAGTTTAGTTATGTTCCTTTCTTTCCCATGGAAGATGTTTAGTAAAGAGTCATTTGACGGAGACTGTCAGCTTGCGATCCCATACAGGATTTATATAATTCAAGCCAATAAAAACACGAAGCCCTTTCTACTTAATCTTATTGATATGTTTTTTATAACTACTGATGTTACTCTTAAATGATTCTCAGGGCGTTTTTTTTTTTGTTTGTTTGTTTTTAAATTCTCTAGAAATATGCTTACAGTGTCCACAGAGCCTTCCAAAAACACTTAAAAAATTTTTTTATGTTGACTACACACCAAATGTATTTTACCTGGATTTTATGTGACGGACGAACACAAAGGAGCACATTGCATGAGTTTGCTAGTCAAAATCTGAAAATTGTTACTTGTAATCTGTCTTTACCGTCATTGTGAAGTGGCATGTGGTTTGTAGAAACAAACATCCGAGGCCTTCACAGAAACAGCTGTATTTATACTGAGATTCGCTTACACACACGTAACTTCTGAAGGCAACAAGTTGCACTTTTTCTGGTGTCAGTGTTGAATACATATTCCTCGTAGCACACATTTATGCAACTATTTTAATTGTAAAATAGGTTGAACGCAATGTGTTAATTCCACTGCACAGCTATGACTACTTTGTGTTAGTTTATCGCATGAACCCCCATCAAAATACACTGAATTTTGTAATTGCAAAAAATGTCAACGCTTTTGTAAGGCTCTGTGAATTGGGTGTATTTTTTTGTTTTGTTTTGTTTTTTACAGTAATTAGTATTACATAAGACTTTTAAGTCTTTGCCATACTGAAGATGGCATCAAACCACACAAAGTGGTAATTGCAGACAGAGACACACAACATAACTCTTAAAAAAAAAAAAATTTGCATAAGGCTTTTATGTCGATGGCCACGACTCAGTCGTCACAGACTTTAGCATATAGGTAATAGAAATGATGTCAAGAGGAATCATTTTATTTATCATCCCCATATTTACCAAAAGAACACACATATATGTCCAGTTACACACACACACACACACACACGCACTCGCACTCACACACACACAAAATAAAAAACAGAGTCGGAAAGCAGCCATGCAAAGCCATGACCTGCTTACTTACAGTTTAGTGGTTCAACATGTGGCTCAAGGACACTTTGACATGCTAGGAGAAGACAACCGCAGACCTTCGCTGACAACCAGCAACTTCTGTCATTCTGTTCGCACATGCAGCAGAGTGATTCATCAGACATACATTATGGTTGTTGATTGAATAAACGGGCTGAAAGAAGATCTTTCCATGCATTTTTTTTTTTTTTGCTTTGTTTTTTTTTTTTCAGTGTGATCCTTGAGACCAAAGCGAAAAAAAATAAATAAATAATGGCGAAACCCTGCTTTTGGGGGAGGATACATTCTTAAAGGTCCATTGCTGCAGAATGTGATGAAAATGCTGCCAAGTGAACATCAGCCAAAGTGTTTCTGGGTGTAACCTTCAAAAGCCTCTATCAAAGAAATTAAATTTGGCCTGGTGCGTCTTTTAATTCACACGAATGGGTGCGATGCGGCGGCCACAGTGTTTCAAGGGGACAGTTTTTGCTGTCGCACCACGGCAACGTTCACATTAAGAATGACGGTGGCAGAAAGACGACAAGTTTGGACATATATCCAACAAAAGAAAAGCAAACATTATTAACAGTGTTAATTTAATTGCTCCTTTGCCAACTCGCACCCTCAGTTCACACACACAAACGCACACGCACACACACGTTACCTCCATTAGTCATTTTCTACAGCCATTTCATACATCCGTATAAATAATACCAAGACTAAATCATGTTACCATTTTTGTAGTCAAGTGTTTTTGTCTATTACTGTAGACAAATGGTCAGAAAAATGTACCAAGACACCACAGTGATAACGAACGGTCCTGTACTAAATGGAAGTGGCTCCGGGTCAAATGGTGCTGCTTGTGTGAGAAAGAAGGGTATGAATTGGTGAAACTGCACACAGCTCTGGAGACAGGTTTAACACAAACACAGAGTTTTAGGTCATTCTCCCCTAAACTTGAAACCAGATATTTACATCAACTGTATAAGCAAGACAGTTTTTTTCTTATTCTCTGAAATTACATCAGATTTGCCTTTTCCTGTTTCCAGTTGGCGCCACCAAGATTGTTTTTTATCAGCACCAGAATAATGAAAGAGATTTTTTTACTTCTTAATGTTCCAAGATTACATTTAGTGAGTCCAGATAATGAGAATGATCTCATGGCTTTAGGATCTTCGAACTCAAATTGAGGAATATCTGTGAACCTGTGGATATTTTTTTTAAATAACTGATCAATTATTATTCTGGTCTGATTAGTCTGATTTAATATCACACAGTGAGAGGAAAACGGTTATGTGTCTTCTTATAAAGTGCATGTTAATATCTAGTTTTATTTGTATCTAATATGAACTTTAGCACCTTATGAGAATAAACAACAGCCTTCACCTGACAACTTACCTCCATATTTAAGACCCAGGTGACTGGTAGGTTTTCTTTAAAAATGGATGTTTTGTAAAGAGTTTTTCATGTATAATCAATGACTTGGCTGTTGGAGTGTGATATGAATGTGTGTGTGTGTGTGTGTGTGTGTGTGTGTGTGTGCGCGCGTGCACCGTTTTGACAGAGGGAAGTAGAGTCCGGCTCTTTTGTATGCGTCAAGAAAAAAAGTTTGGGAACACCCACAGCAGCACTTCTATTGCTGTTTAATCAGAGGCTGATTCAATTACTAAAAAAAAAAAAAAAAGAAAATAAATTGCACATGCGAGCCTAATATAAATTACTTATTACAACGTAACCGAGACAAAATTCCTCATATCTTCATAGTTTTTTCTAGGCTGATGAAAACAGCTTTGCATTTTAACTCAAAAGATCATCCTAAATGTTACACATTCCTTTGAATGTAAAGAAAGGCTGGCATTTGGGTCTCTGGATGATACTTTGTGGCTGTGCTGCTTTCATTTAACATTCCTATGAGGCAAGAGAACTGTTCTTACATAGATTGGTGCATACTTAAATAACACAAATACTGTATTTGTTTTGGGTTTTTTTCCAAGAAATCTTTTTACAGAACAATAAGACTAATCTCTGCAAAAGTGCTTTTTTATAATCCTATATTCTGAGCTCCAAGAAGGAGTTTTAAAGTTTAATCCAGATCATTGAAGATCCTAGCATTAGGGTTAGCCCCATGTAAATGTAATGTGAAATGCAGTAATAACAGTAGCATTATGAGTCCCTGTTTAGCTAACGACTGTAAGTATTTGGGATATGAAGCCTCAGTTAGACATTTGTTTTCTGGCTTCCTCAGCACTAACTAACCTATTCTTGATGGCTGTCTCTCAATCCCATGCACTACAGGGTGAGGATTGCATATGGAAAAGTGCCAGTGGCGGGTCAAGGAGGTTTGACAGAGTCCCCTGAAAATTGACTCAATCAACTTTAAGGTAGCCGTTTGAATTAAAGCCACTCCCCCTCCTTTGTTCTCGTTGCCTGCTGCCTTCCAAAGTTTCTCCAGCGCCTCCCCCTCCAGCATCATGCCGATGGTTTGACCAGCCGTCCTCGGGCCCTTCATGAAAGCGTAGCCGCAGGGTTTTGCGGATAACAAAGCGCTCCACGATGAAGGAGGCGCAGAACCACGGCACGGCGTACTCGGCCGTGATCAAGCCCATGAAGTTGTAGCGGAACTCGGCGTAGTCCCAGGGACAGGCGTTGAACTGCCGCAGCAGCAGCCCCGTCCCAAACTCCCACAGGTACGTCCACAGGGTGTAGATGATGCAGCGCAGCAGCACGGGGCAGCGGCCGCGCAACGTCAAGTACATCCGCTCCACAATGAGGATGCAGGTGCCGTAGATGAAGAAGGCCCACACGCTGGTCACACCGGGGAACTTCCAGTTGCAGTTGACCACAAACTCCCAGGCGGCGGTGAACATCACTTCGCAGAAGTAGCCGTGGATGGCGTAGAGGTACCAGCGGGAGAGGGCCGTCAGAGGAACAGGGTCCCCTGAGGTTTCTAAGGTTACCATGGTTCCTCTTGTGGGTTTCACACAGATTTCCTATTTGTATGTACAGGATTCAGGTCTGAAAAGAGAACAAAGAAAGACTTCAGAAATGATCATTTGGAAAACCTGCTACACCTTATTCTACTCCAGGTATCAAAGGAAAGGAAATTTGTACGTGGTTGATTTTTTTTCATTGCCGTAACAATGTTTCATGGTACTGAATCTCACACTGGTGAACAGTCTGTTTATTGTCCCTTAAATTGGGCCTCATTTGTAAAGAAAATGCTTTTGTGGGTTGTGCAGCAGAGTTGAGTATGTGGGTTGCTCTCGAAAAACACTTGCCAAAAACCAAACAGAGCGATAGTATGGGGCGGCATTTCATCACTGTCAACGTCGGAAGCAATCTTCACAAAAAGAGGAGTCAAGATGAGATCCTACAACCAGTGGCGATCCCTTATTTGCTCTCTTTGGGACCAAAATCTAACCTCCATAATGTTAATGCCCGACAGAGAGAGCTTTTACAGACACCAACTATTTCCTCCCTGCAGTCCTGACCGCAACCTCATTGAACAGTGGTGTCAAAGTGACCAATGCAACTACATGCGACAAGTGCTGGTTGAAGACTAGTATGCCATCTCACACCAATATGATCTGGTGATCAGAATGAGGAGAAGGTGGCAGGATGTTGTGGCTGTATATGACACACTGCTGAGGCCACTGTTTATTCAATTAATATTATTTTGGTCATAATTGCTTCATCAAGCTTCAATCCCATAGGCCAACTGATGACACTCAACAAGAATAAGTAGCAGATTAAACTACTTGGTATTAGCAGAGATGATCTGAAAGGTTTTCCTTTGCCACAGCCCACATACTCAACTCTGGTACTCAACCCACAAATGCATTTTCCTTACAAATGTGGCACCATTTAAAGGGAAACTTAAAAAAAGCTTTAGAATGGCATGAGATTTACTGAAAGAGGTATTGCTACAAAAGAAAAAAAAAATCGATAAAACACAAGTTGCCAAGTTGTTTTCTCAGTCTCAGAGATGGATTATTAATACAAGACATCTAGCAAATAATGTGTGAACAGCAATGTGCCAATACAGAAATAGCAGTGGGGAGTCCATAATACAAAGTTTTCCATCACATACAGAGACGAGGAGAGCAATAGAAGATGTAACAAAATCTCCAAAGCGAACCACAGTCAGAGTGGCGTCTCAGGTCACCGAGTTTCCATAGCAACCACAACATGCTGTTGCGATATAACCAAATGGTTCGGGGTGATGCCAGAAAAAAAATAAGACAAAGAAAAAGCCTTAACAGATGGAAACACAAAAGGAAATTCTACTAGGAGTTGAATTGGAAGGGTGTGATGAGGATTCAGCAACAAAATATGTAAGACGCAGGATGAGTGAAGGAAAAGCATCTCATGTTCAATGCAAAGGATAGTGGGAGATTGGTAATGCAGAGGTGTATGGCTTCATGACCGCTTTGAAATAAAATGTAAAAACATCTACATTTCATCTGAATACAAGTGTAAATTATGAGTCTTATTGTGTATTTCTGCAGCTTAATAATCAAAACACAGACCAAATTCAAACCAACACAGACATGGCCGCCACAAAACAAATCAACATTCTCCCATGACTATCACAGAATCAGGATCTGCCTCCTATAGAAAACCTGTCTGGGTGAGATGTGGAAAATAAAACATTACATTAAATGTGTCAGACGCTGCATTCTGGTTTGTTCGCTTTGCTCCCTGCAAGATTGTTGTGTTACGCCTCTTGTTTAGTTTGTATCAAAGTTGTTGGTCCGGATAGTCTAGCTTGTTGTCTTTGGATTTCACCCAAAGCTTCTCCATCTGAATGCCATTTATTTAGTAATAAAACCTTTCAGTTTCAATGATAAGGCCCCAGAGGGAATCCAGAATTAAGTCTTCGACTCTGTTTCGTGACTAAAATGTACAATTCACCAGGCAGCAATTTCTGAGAATACTTGTGACAGGCACTGCAACCGCTTGTAGAGATTTTACCCCAAAAATTACAATAATTATTCCTCATTATAAAACACTGACATGCAGTACATCCCATCTTAAGCAATGATTACAGCCTAACTGTCCAAACAGAGTCTGCTGCCTGCAGAATTAAACGGGATTTGCTGCCATCTCCAGCAACAGCCATCTGGCCAAATCAAAAGTGAAATCTTCAGGATTAGAAATTTAATTGCGTGGGGTGCTAAGCCACTTTTAAATTAAGCCAAGGCAGTGAAACACTGCAGGCATCAGGAGATTTAATTAAAGACTGGAGGCTGATGAAGCACTTAAAGTGTACCGACCTTCCCTCAGCTGATGCTATTTACACAGTGAGGGGGTTTCTTATGTAACGTATAGCTTTGTCATCTGACTGCCTACATCAACACTCTGCGTCTCCAACTCGTGCTGCTTGACAAACATTTCGTGCTGACATATCAGGTATCAGAAATCCCACGAAGGGACGGGCCCGTTCGCGGCTCTGCTCCACACACACCGCGTCTTAAGTTAGAGGAACACAGAATGCAAACAGCACAATGACGAATTCAAAGGCCATTTACTCAACAAGGCCACACAGTTTATATCCTTTACCGTACAATGTCTCCAGAGGAAGCTGTCATAGCAACAGCGATTATACAATAGATCACAAACGCTGGGTGAAATAGCGTCTTAGTACGAGGTTACAAGTACAAACGCATGTTTGAAGAACAAAAGGTCTTTTTTTGTCTCTTTTTGTCTTCAAAGCCTGGCTGTGACCCAGAGAGAGTCCACAGGGATTAGCACATTTACTCCAAACAAGGAACAAGGGTTTCATGTGATTAACTGGGCCACAGCTCCATAAACCTCCTTATTCCATCTTTTCTCTGGCTTCCTGGGAAAGAAACACACCTCGTCTATGAAAGTCAGATTGGGTCAACTTTTCAAGTGCTGAGAAGAAAGGTTCAGCCTGTAACTAAAAGAGAAGCACGCCGAATTGAGTCCTCCTTCGCTTCTATAAGTCAGTAAAAAGTAAAAACAAGTCAGATTGTTAAATTGTGTCAAAGCCACAAGGAATTCATGCCAATATGATTCTGTTTCTCTGTGTCATTTGATTTTTTTATGTCTTAGTCACCGAACTACTTCTGCAGACTGTCTGGTATTTCAGTCATTCAAATATTCGGCATATTCAGAATCTGTCAGCTATCACCAACATTATTTACTCCTCTTGCAATTTTCAAATATCTCACTTTTTTATTAAAACAAATTCCAGCCTATTGTCACAGGGACTGTGCCCCATCGTCTTATGGAAGAGTCAAAAAGGCACACAAGCTTACCAGGTCACTCTTTGTTTTTAGGCTTTTGAACATCTTCATGCTATCAAAGCAGAAGCAGCTGTTTGAGTTAGTATTAAAAGGCAAATTCACGCTCTTCATACTTTTTCAGAACACCACAGTTAAGGAATTAAAACTACTGTTAAAAATATTATTGTTTACACTGTATATCAATGTAAGTATATTAGCTAATGTTAAAATAGCAAGTGCTGCTAGCCTGCTAACATTTGCTAACCTGCTGGAATTAACATTAACTACTACACATTAGCTAATGTTAGCATATCACCCAAAAACAAGTAGCAGGTAAATATAACTATCATTAATAGCATCTTACAGGTTAATGTTAGGATGTTAGCTCTTTGTATTCTTTACTGTTAGCTAACATACTACCATATTTGCTAGTGTTTTCAATATATGTATCTTAAGTTAAAACCATGACAAATAGCCAGGCAGAATAGCTATTATGCTAATTTTACTATGCTAGCATTTTAGCTAATGGTGGCACAGAAGATGCTATTAGCAAAGCAACTGATACTTGCTAAAGTCAAGTAGGAAAGATCAAAAAAGAAATAAGCACTGAATTTAAAACTTGAAAAGTTTTTTCTTAAAAAAAAGAAAGCCTTTCCACTCATTTTAACTGTAGCCTACATCACAATTTCAAACTTTTCACTTCATGCCTAAGCTCTCCCACTTAAGTTGCAAATTCCCTACTGTTTAACATCGTCAGCTGATTTACGCTCTCAGATTTTATTTTATGGTCTCTCATGCCAGGCTGCTGATTCTTTAATCTAACACCACTTTCAACAGTTCAGCTCAGTTTGCTATGACTTCAGTTTCTTTAGCGGTTTTCAGTTTCAGTTTCTGCTTCTGCTATGCAGTACGGCTCTGTTGAAAGGGATTGTTCTCAATTTCTGCCTCTTTGTTCTCCATGACATTCATTTGTGCTTCAGTTAAACTTTTTCAGCAGAAGTTAAAATAAAAAATCAGATTACCAATTTAGCTTACAGTATCCAGGCAGCATTTATGATGGAAAAGCTTTTTTTTCTATCTAGTTCAGGTTTTCACCATAAAACTGTCAAATCTGCCATTATAAGTAGACAATAGTTTAAATACACCAGCATATTCCAATTTCCAAAAAATCCCCAAACCACATTGATATAACACTTTCTATGCAGATCAAAGCAGTGTGTTAGCCACATTGTTCTCTTGTCATCACTGACGACCACTTTCTCACAGAAACCACGTCCGCTTTTTCTCCCAACACTTCCCCCTTTCTCTCTGCACCTAAAATGCACATTACATTCGTCACCCACACACATGCAAATCTGCTAATGAGAAGGATTATCTAAAACTGTAATGAGGCTGTCCTACGCTACACCTCCTGCCAAACACACCATACGTGCAAACGTCCAGACGAAGGCGAGGCAGCGATGTAGCACTGAGAAAAGGAAATCATTTCTGTGTTCATCCTGTGATCTTCATTTCTGAAAACAGTTAGTGGTATTTCTGATCACTGCATGGCGTTGAGAAACCAGAGAGAGTCAACACTTGACATGAACTTTTCTATATTCACAGAGATTCTTGTGGTGATGATTCTTTACTATCCGGTTAGGCTTATGATAGGTTTTCCACCTGTGTGTGCCACTGTGCGTGTTTGTGCCCAAAGGTAAGGTGAGGCAGAGTGAAATGTTTTGTCTAGCACTACTCAAACAAAAGATCATTCAAACAGCCAAA